AGACAAAAATCTGGTCAATAATGAGAAACTGAGTCTGAATTCAAGTTCAACGCATCCTTTTGTAAGTATTAATTTCAAAATATATTTTGAAATGTACTTTCGTATTAATTTGTCATACTTATAAGCACTCGCATAAAGCAGTTTTATAGTCTCACTACGATTTGTATCACTCATGTACTTGAACTATCATTCTTTTGTATGCAAAAAGTTTGATTATTGACCATCACAACTTTAACATCTTAGTATGTATAATTATTCCTTACATTTGTTTTAAATGCATTGTTAACTCAGTTGCTTCTTTTATGAATTATTCCAGTCTCCGGAAAAGGCATCTTCAACAGCAAATGTCGCTAACATCGCGGCTCCAGCACGTTCAGACTTAGCCTATACCACCGGTCTTATTCCGCCTCCTCCTGCTCCCGTTCCCTTGCCTCCTCAAATGGCTAACCTTGTGTCTGCAAGTCCGATTGTCACCCCTACTCTTTTTTCTCCTTCTACCCTTACTCCTCTAGTTGACCCGAATGACTATTCTATGTATCCCAAGCCTCAGCAACCTCCTCAAGTTACGCCTTCCGCCGCTACTTTTGCAGTACCAACCGATGACCGCTCATCTATCTTTCAGAATGCCAGTGACACCGTGGTAATACTAACTTTGACTAAGTCTTTTAATGTTAATACAAAATAACATCCTTTTTTTATTGACGTCATAATAAGTTTTTATCCATTTACTCGGGAGAATGAGTAATTCTTCAATGGGCTGGGAATTGTTTGAAAAAGCCCCTTAGTTTGTTAATGTTTTTCGTTCACTTTTTTGAATCAAAACATACATCTAGGCTCAAAGTAGGTTGAACTAGGGAATCTCATGATTAAGAAACAAAAATCGGTCTTCCTCTCGACTTTCTTATGATCAAATTTCGACGCAAATTGAGGGGGTCATAAACTTTAATAATAATAAAAAATTCAATCTGATCTATGAAAAGGCTCATGAGGAGGTTTCTGAAATATTTACGAAACTTAATAAAATATGCTGAATCTTTTAAGGGGCATTTATCTATCTATTCATTTTTCTCTTTTGATCTACCTATGATAGATTTCGAAAGGTTTAATGCAGGCTTCCACCCCTCAACTGTATAATCCTTCAAAGTATCTGCCGCTGCAGGATACTCTACGAAATTACCCTCCAGCTCAAGCAGTGAGTACGAGTATCCAGCTTCCAGGCATGCCACCTCTAAACGTACCGATGCCAGAACTTCCAGGTTTGGGACAATGACCATTTATCTTGATTTTGCCAATTAAAAAGAACTATACAAATAATGATTGCTCTCTAGTGACCCTCGGTCTCATACATTTCTAATTACATATTTGCTGAACCTTTCACGGATAACACTACAATTAGAAATAGGCTTTAAGTCGTATAATGCAACACTGAGGGCCAAGGTACTGCTACTTTCATATGGTGTGACTTTTTTTAGAGACCGGAATATTTTCAGGAATGGACCTGGAAAAAAATTGGCTGGTTCTTTTTCGTTCATAAGTGGAATTTCGAGACTGCCAGTAGATCATACATGTGAGGTGTATTTACCCTATCTCGTCAAATTGATGAAGAACTGATAGTTGAATTTTCGCACAGTGATATGGATAGGCCTCATGTTTCCATTTACCTTCGAATAGCTTTGTCTTCCAAAAGGTATTCTTGAAAAAGGCTGAACTGCACTTTCGACTTCGTCTAGGTCTATTCGGCACACCCAGTGGGAAAATTCAACTACCAGTCTTTCATCCTTACGAAATATGGTGAATACATATCAAGGCTTAGCTCGGGTTGCATCATTGGACTAATTATAATAGCCAGATTCACATGAGTTTTGTCGGCGTCGCCACCGCTATTCATTAAATGAAAACTTTTAAAATAAGTCAACACTATTAGACAAGTATGATTCCCCACCGTCCATATCTCATATCTAGCCTCCTGCACTTCACTCATTTATCTCTGTTCATATTCTTGCCCTCATTTCTTTTGTCAGACACTAAGCTTGAGTCCTTTTGTGTGAGATTTTTTTAGTGCATAGCTGGGCTTTAAAAAAAATGATTCTTGATAATAACAGTATCAAACTACAACTAATTAGAGACAAGTGAAGTCCATCCCTTGACTAACTTTCTGCCAGTTATTCTGGTGTCACTCCTTTCCTACCCCTTATCCTCTTGTCTCATTTCCTATGATAAACATCTAACTTATATCGGAATATTCCAGAGTTTTTCTCTACGCGGGTTTAGTGAGATGTTTTTGTTCTTACTTTGCC